GGTCGAGGCTGCAGTGGCTGGGAGCGGCCACTGCACTCCGGTCTGGGTGACAGAGTGAGACTCCAACTCAAAAAAAAATAAAATAAAATAAACACAAACTTATATTTTTAAAAAATCTTCACAGTGGAAATGTATTCCATGTGACTGTGAGAAACTTCAGAAAGCATACTAATGATTTCATTTAATTCAGGTAATAAAGGCTTGTTCCCAACAACTTCTGTGTACCTTCAGACATCAGGCAAGGGTCAGATGACAGGCCCCAAGGCCGATGGGGGCCTGGAATTGCACCATGCAATACACGTGTGCCCCCCAAAGTGCTCCATGGCTCTCTGTCCCTGCCCCCACCTGTCCTTGATACTGTTATTGTTGCTTCTCCCACTTGGGGGCGCTGTCTACTTTGACAGGGGTTGGACTGCTCTATGGTTCATAATAAATGGTCACTTTCAGTGCAAAGCTGAGCTAACTCACTCCCAGCTTCTCATTTATTTCAAGCACGTTACGTCTTCTGATAGGCCCATGACCTAGATGGTGCTCAGCTGGCCAGCACTTCTGCTTGTGTCTAGGGTTTCCATAACACAGCAAGCTCCTGGGTCAACCACTCAGAGATCTTCATAGGGATCTTCAGGTTGCTGGTCTCCTTGTCTCAGTCCCTTCACAGGGACTGGGGCATGGGGTGTGGAAGGAGGGTCTGAGATGTGAGGAAATGCTAACTCCCTTTCAAACAGTCTCATCTTTTTGCGCCTTAGTTTCTTTATCTGCAAATCGTGAATGCTGTCTTACAGGGTTGCTATAAGAATTATATGATGTAATTCCTGTAAAGAGCTTAGAACTGTGTCTGGCATATATAAACACTCCATAAACATGCACCAAGCAGTATCTCTGGGGTTCTCTGGCGTGTATGGGTGCAAGCTGTCATCTAAACCCAGAGATCCAGCAGAGCTGGGTGTGGTGGTATGTGCCTGTAATCCCAGCTGCGTGGGAGGTCCAGGAGGGAGGATTGCTTGAAGTCAGGAGGTTGCACTGAGCTATGATTGCCTGCTGCACTCCAGCCTAGGCAACAGAATGAGACTGATCTCTCTTTTTTTTTTTTTTTTTTTTTTTTTGAGGTGGAGTCTCATTCTGTTGCCCAGACTGGAGTGTAGTGGACGTTCCCGGCCACCGCAGCCTCGACCTGCTGGGCTCCAGCGATCCTTCCGCCTCAGCCTTCCAAGTAGCTGGAACTACAGGCGCACGCTACCACACCCGGCTAATTTTTTGATTTGCTGTAGAGATGAGGTCTAGGCAAGTTGCCCAGGTGGGTCTCGAACCCGCGGGCTCAGGCAATTCACTCACCTCAGCTTCCCAAGGCACGGGATTACAGGTTGACACACTGAGCCTGGCTGAGACCTGATCTCTTAAAAATTTTTTTTCTTTATTTCAATCGCCTTAAGGGGTACACATAGTTTTAGGGCTGGGCTTTAAGGGTACCCACCTCCCCCACCTGTGCACATTGCACTCGATAGGTGATTTTTTTGTCCTTCTACCCCTTCTCCCCTTCCCCTTCTGAGTCTCTGGTGTCCATCATGCCATTCTCTATGGCTTTGCAGATCCTTAGTTTACAAGCGAGAACATGCAGTGTTTGGTTTTCTGTTTCTGAGTCAGTTCACTTAGGATGATGTTCTCCAATTCCATCCAAGTTCCTGCACAAGACAGTATTTCATTCTTTTTGATGCTGAATGGTATTCACAGTGTATATATACCACACTTTCAGTATCCACCGATCAGTTAATGGGCATTTTGTTTGTTCCTCATCTTTGCAATTGCGAATGGTGCTTCAATGAACACGCAGGTGCAGGTGTCTTTTTTGTACACAACCTCTGTTCCTTTGGGTAGATCCCTAGTAGTGGAATTGCTGGATCAAGTGGTAGATCTACTTTTCGTCTTTGAATAATCTCCATACCGCTTTCCATAGAGATTGTACTAATTTACACTCCCAACAGTGTATAAGCGTTCCCTTTTCTCTACATCCCTGCCAGCATCTATTGTTTTTCGATTTTTTAATAATGGCCATTCTGGTTGGTGAAAGGTGGTATCTCATTGTGGTTTTATTTCTTTATTTGCATCTCCCTGATAATGAATGATGTTGAGTATTTTTTCATATGTTTGCTGGCCATTTGTGTATCTTCTTTTGAGTGATGTCTGTTCATGTCATTTGTCTACTTTTTAATGGGATTATTTGCTTTGTTCTGGATTATTGGAGTTCTTTGTAAATTTTGGATATCAGTCCTTTGTCAGATGTATAGTTTGTTAATTTCCCATTCTGCAGGTTGCCAGTTTGCTCTGTGGATGATTTCTTTTGCTGTGCAGAAGCTTTTTAGTTTAAGTCCCTCTTAATTGATTTTTGTTTTTCTTACAAATGGGGTTTTAGCCATACATACTTTGTCTTGGCCAATGGTGAGACCCTACCTCTAAGAAAAAAAAAGATCCAGCACAGGGGAGTACAGTTCAGGTTGGGGCTGGGGTGGGGACACTCCTGCACTCTCACTGAGGCTCAGGTGGGGCTGTGGCCCTAGGAAAAGGAACCCAGAGCCTAAAGCTTTCCCTTTTCCAGCTAGTGACCCTGCCTGGTGTTTTTCCCCATTCTGCCTGCAATGCCAAGTCCATTCTAAGAGCAGAAGGGGGTCATGCTTAGAGTCAAGGATGTAAAGTAGGGACTTCTAGATTTATTTTTATTTTTATTTTTTACTAGAGAGCAGTTCCAGGCAAGTGGAACTAGAGACTGATGATCCATGTCATAGAGGTAGCAACTGAAGTGACAAACAGGGAGACCCTTTAAAAGAAAATGATGTTTATTCGGAAATAGGAATTGCAATGGGAATACACACACCATAGTAGACTATGGGCGTATTCAGGGAGGGAGAGGAAGACAAAGGTTTTTAAAGAAAAACTGAGGAGGTTTACATAATTGTTTTGAGATAATTATCCTTGGCTACCAGGACCAATAAGAATACATCTGTTTGAGGTTGGAAAGGCAGTTTCCAGGCAGATGTTTTTGTAGAAGTATTTTTTGTGTGTAAGGTTGTGATGGCATCTGAGTTGGGTTGTGCTTTTGTAGTCTTTGGGGTGGTTCTTGTTATCAGGCATTTGTGCATAAGAACCCTCTCTCTGTGGCCTTCTCTGCCTCTGTCAGGGTTTTCTTTCTTTCTTTCTTTCTTTCTTTCTTTCTTTCTTTCTTTCTTTCTTTCTTTCTTTCTTTCTTTCTTTCTTTCTTTTATTTTATTTTATTTGAGACAGGGTCTTGCTCTGACTCCCAGGCTGGAGTGCAGTGGCTGTTCACACACGATGGTGACTCACTGCATCTCACGACTCACGATGATGAACCCCTTGGGCTCAAGTGAACCTCTGACCTCAGCCTTGTAGGCAGCTAGAACTACAGGTGCATACTACTGCACCCAGCTCCATCAGGGTTTTTAACACATCATAACTCCATTTCGATTCTGACAACCTTCACATAGGCAACTAAAGAACCAGTGTGAACTAAATGCATGTCCGTGCCAGGCATTCCAAACATCCCCTCCACTCCTTCTGACAGCTGCAAAGTGGACACTTATCTCTGTTTTACGGAGGAAAGCAGAGTCCAAGGTCATATGGCAGCAAATGGAAGGACTGGGGTCCAGCCTCAGGTCTGTGTCACTTTCCTTAGTTAATCAAATTGGCATTTTGCTGTTCCCATGCCAAGTCCAAAGCCCTTTGGATGGTTTGCTGTGGGGAGTCCTTATGTCTATGAGGAGCTGACAGTTTTCCCCTTCCTTTCCCTTCTCATCATGGGTCATGGCTTGGGGGGTGCGCTCCAGCCTAACAGCACATTCCCAGCATCTCCCTCATCCTCACCACTTCATCTCAGGGCATTTAGTCCCTAAGAGTGACAAGCACAACTTGCAGATGCCATTTATTCCATTCACTTTTTCTCAAATGATCCCCAGCCCTTGGGGTCTGCATGACCAATGGCATCTCTTGACAGGCAGCCATCACTCCCAGGAGAAAGCAGTGTGGTTGCTTCTGCTGTCTGGCATGTCCGACTCAGCCATGACACTGATGTTTGTGAGGGTAGTTGAGCTCATAGACTTTGTGCCATATTTTCCAAAGTCCATTGCTCCATTTCGAGATCACGGTCTGAACTCTTGACCCTTGCCAGCTCTTTCCAGACGTGTCACCCAAGCTGTAAGGGGGATTGAGGGAGGGAGAGTGGCTTGGATCAGGTCCACGGCTCCCATTGGGTAAATAAGTCCAGCTCCCGCCACCTTCCTGAGACTGAGTCACTTGCAGCCGTCCTGTCCCCTTGGAAAGGGCAGCACGTAGTTGGTAGTATCCTGGCCATGGCTCCCACCCAAAGCCTCCTCCATGCACCCTGCCCCGTGAAGTTTCCGGGATCATTGGAGACAGCATGGCAGAGTTGACACTGCATGACACAGACCAGCTGTCGGTCACAAATGTCTCTTGGCTGGTTGGCTTTCGTGGGATGACTGTCTGTAGGTTCTGAATAGGTGACTCAAATTTTGTTTCGTTTCCTTGGTCAGCATGATAGAGTGCACAGTGTTTCTGGAAAAGCCTCTTACCTACGTTGCCATTCATTCATTCAACTAGTATTTACTGAGCACCTGCACAATGGCTTGTGCTCCTATTACAGCATTAAATGCACATCCTATCTGTTGTGCAGAGGATACCTGAGGAAACAGCCACAAGTCACTGCAGAAGAAATTTTGGTGGGGTGGACAAGAGGTGGGCCGCTGGCCCAGCTCTCCCAGAGAAAGCAGCAACTAAGCTTATCCTGAAGGATGAGTAGGAGCTTGGCATGCGGAAAGGTCAGGAGAATATTCAGGAGAGGGAGCAGTGCACACAAGACACAGAAGCAGGAGCCAGCAGGTCCAGGCTGTTGAGAAGGGCTTGAAGGGGTGTGTTGAAGGACCAGGCAGCAGAGATGAGCAGAAGCTGGTTAGCCGTGCTAAGAGGTTTGGGCTTTCGCCCTGGAGCTCTGGGGAGACATTGGAGGATCCCAGCAGGAGAGAGGCAAACCAGATTTGCATGTCATGAGGAACCTGCATCCCAGCAGAGCAGGGTGGGGAGCTGGGAGACTTTGGCCTTGACTGTGGGGAGGCGATGGGGGCTTGGACGCAGGTCACATCAATAAAGGCAAGAGAGACAGACACATTTAAAAGGTATTTCATCAGGTCTAGTCATGAGATGTGACTACCCTCAGTGACCTGGCAACTGCAGGCTGGTGGTACCATTTCCTGAATCAAGAATCTGGGTGAGGAGCCGGGTAGGATTTGGGAGAGATTCTGAGTTCAGTTTTTGGACACGCTGAGAGTGGGGCCTGTGGGACCTCTAAACAAGCATCCCAGAAATGAGCAGAACCCTCTATTCTTTACTCCAGCAGATATTGACTGAGCACCTACTATATGCCAAATAATGTTTTAGACACTCACGAAAGGAGATGTCATTCAGGCAGCCAGGTGTGACTTCAAACACCTCCTTGGTAAGGCCCATCCACAGACCGAAAACAGGAAGCAACGTTTTGAAGCAGCCGTCGGACAGCCTACAGTTTTTCAGATCAGCAGCCAAGTGATGACCCCAGGAAACTCTTCCAAAGGACAAGATGTGATTAGATTGGTTAATGGATGCTTCAGGGAAACTTACACTGGAATAATGCATATTGCAGTTGAAAGAAAATGTCAGTATTAACTCCTGAATTTTATGTTTGTATTTTTCCTTGAGGTTATGCATTTCATACATTCAGAAATTTTTCTCCGAGACTTTCAAGAATGAGGCCATCCAAAGTGAGGAGGCAGGTGAGTTTTTGTTATCCACATATTAAAGCAGAGTTTTGCTGACTTCATGGGCATCTTATGGTCTTTATGGAAGGAAACCAGCCCAGAGACCAGGTCCCTGGTCTATAAGCTGCAATTGTTATCCACTACACAGTGTCTGACATATAATAGGTGCCCTGTAAATATCTGCCAAATCATGATGAATGAAATCAAGCTTGGTAACGTAGCTTTTATGCTAATGGCCATATGAAAGACAAAGTGTTGATGTCAATAGAGCAGCCTTTGGATTGGAGTACTAAACAGAACACCACCAAGCACAGGACAGCTGCTCTTTGTCCCTTTGGGCTCTAACCATTCACGACCCGATCATCCACATCTGCACGTGTCCAAGAGGTAGGGTCAAGAATCAGAGTAGGTCCTTCCAGCTAGAAGAAGGTTCATTGGGCCTCATGAGGAGGCTAGACAGGTCAGCTCCTTAAAGGAGCTTCTTATAAATATAAATTCCACTCCGTGGTATGGCTGCCTGAGCTCCAAGCCAGCCCCCTTTCCCAGGAGAAGCTGATACATTTTTTTTCTCACCCGTCAACTCTGATTGAAATGAGAAAAGTAGTCTGAGACTATCTCCTGGCATAGAGGAAAGAGCTCTGGGGTTGATTCATGATGTCTGCCATGCATTGGCTATGCTGAAAATAGAAATTGATGTGCAGCGAGTGAATGTGCTTTGCTCACGATTCTGCTTCTGCCTACCATCACCCTAGTGGGGTGGGACTTTTCCAGACCCAACATAAGAAGAACACTTGAGGTGATCCATGTCCTGAACCCTAGCATCAAACAACATCATAAAGTTGGTGAATAATAAGAATAATAAAAGGAAAAGAAACAAGAAACCAAGGTCACATAGTCAACTAATGTCAAAGCCAAGAATTGAGTAGATGGGGCCAGTGGCCTTCCAGGTCCTGCTTGGTGCTGAGATTTAGGGTTTGAGCCTGCCCTAGGCAGCACCTCTTCCCCAGCCTGTACTCACGCAGGAGCTGAGCCTCGCAGAGCCCTCTCCTGCTGCACCCGGCCTGGCATCCTCGGGTCTTCCGCCTACCTACTCTCCTATCAAATTCTCTTCTTTGTGTAATTATCAATGCTGTGCACGGGTTAGATGCCCCACTGGACATCTACAATTTGCAAAGAACTTTCTTCCTGTTGTCAGATGAGGCTCTCAAGAATCCTGCTCTCGCTGATGGTCTTTTTACAGTGTTGCACTTTGCTGTTGCCTTTCTTTCTTTCTTTCTTTCTTTTTTTTTTTTTAGTTGGAGTCTCACTCCGTCCCCCAGACTGGAGTGCAGTGGCCGCTCCCGGCCACCACAGCCTCGACCTGCTGGGCTCCGGCGACCCTTCCGCCTCAGCCTTCCAAGTAGCTGGAACTACAGGCACACGCTACCAAGCCCAGCTGATTTTTTGATTTATTGTAGAGATGAGGTCTCGTTGCCCAGGTGGGTCTCGAACCTGCGGGCTATCCACTCACCTCAGCCTCCCAAAGGCGGGGGGATTACAGGCTGAGCCACCAGGCC